AACTTATCTTCCTCTTATCATATTTTTGGTGTCAAGCATGAGGGCCATTTAACTGCTTCACAATTTCTTGAACCGTTTTCGCAAAGCATCATTGCTCTTTCATTATAGGGGGTAATTCATCCCCAGTAGTGATTTAAATACAACCATGACTGCTTGCCCATGATTTGGCCATGCACAACAACTACTCTCAATTGCCCTGGCTCTTCAGTCCATGCATCGAGTAGCAAGTTTGCAGCCAAGACATGCCCATGACTAGTCTTAACTGAATCAAGCATGCGTAGCCACACTTATGCCATGCACCAACATTGCCTTAATTGTGTCCACAATGTTCTGCCATCTTCAGCAATGCAGGGGGTTTTCATAGCTACGGTCCCACAAACATCTCGGTCCCACATCTATGTCAAATTCCCTTTTTGCTTACCTTTCCTCTACTCGTGACAAGTACCTTGGTGGCGTGCCTTGCCCATTAGTGCTAACGCTTGGGGGGCACTATGCTCTACATGCCCAAGTGTTCCAAGAAACAACACCCCCCCTCCCTCTTTCTCTTATATGCTTTAGGGAAAATTTCCTAAGTGACAGGAATGGACATTAGCTGAGCCAATGAATCATAATTCCACAGGAACCTTTTGTTGAACACCTTAGCTACATAATCATTTCACCTTGCTTCAAGCACGCTTCCTTGTGCTAAGTGATGGAGCCTTGCCTTGGTGCAAGGTGCCACCAAGACACATCCATTTCCACTCAAATTCTGTTAGGGTCTCACAGTCGCTGTCTATGAAACTAAATCTCTCTTCTAAAATTTTAGGCTTGACCGTAGTATTATTGGCTACGGCGAGTGGCCAATGGTACTTCTTGAGGCGTTCTTTAGCCATGTCTCGGTAATAATTCAATTCCCCTAGTGTGACATGCTTAGCCTCAGACGACTTCAATTCCAACGACCGATCTGGCCGAGTGGATGATCAACTTTGCTGATAGAATAGCCTCTTTGCCATAAACAAGCAAGCAGGGGGTTGCATTAATGGTTCTCCTCTTCGAAGTTGTATAAGTCTAGAGGGCTATCTGTACTTGTTCAACATGATTGTTCTTGTTGGCAATGATTCTGTTGAGGATCCGCTTGCTCGTTCGCCTCAGGATTACAAGAAATCAAGGCATATTCGATGACCTCATAGGTTTGTAGCTTGTACAATCTTCCTTATTGACCTAAGGGTTCCATTGTACGATAAGACACACTTCGGCAATCAGAACCCACCTCTTGCAAAGTTCCATGGCATCCTATATCCAAATGTTACATTGAGAAAGGGTAATTGTGCCCGTAAGATCCATTGCTCAAGTATGAATGGCCAAGTGGTTGATGAACTACTGAGGTCCACTACTGGTGCATGTGTAAGGTCGTTGTGGTTTGAAAAGGGTCCACATTTTTGACATAATTGGTGCACTCTCGTTCCAACCTTTGGCTAATACCCATATTCCCCCGAGTGTATGGTGTCATGGCCCCTTGGTGCTTGGTATTGTGCAACTTGTCAAGGAACACCAGTCACTTGTTTCTTCCACGAAACCACATTTGCTCAAATGCACTGTGGCGCTGAGGGGAATTACGTTGCAATTCTTCTGCCTGCCATGCCATTTCAAGCCACATCCCCACAACTATATAAGTATATACTCGCATCTCCACAACTATCCTTGTGGACTTGTGGTAGTCTGGCATACGGTTCCCTGGGCACCAGAAATCTCGACTGGATTCTTTGTGGACCTTAGAAGAATAGGATTCCACTCATTATTTCAAACTGCTTTATCGTCTTCACTGGCAGATCAGCTTAGGTTTTAGTTGTGTCATGATTGGACTTTTCTAATCCTGATGGTCGAATCTTAAAATATTTCATCTCCTTTTCAATATAGATTGTTGTTTTTGTGACCAACAATCCTTCAAGGAATTCTTCAAATTCCTGTGAGAATCACAACATTTGGGTTGTCCTTTGTCTTCCTTCGTGGGCGGTTTACCAACTTTTGGTAACATGACTAGTTGAGAACATTACATACTTCCTTCATACTACTTGGAAAAAGGGGTTGTTCATGCCCCGGAGAACTACCTTCCTTACCACCTTTTTACATCTGGCTTTCCTAGCTTGCGGTAGCTATTCTTTTTTCTTTGTCTCTCAAAGGGGACACCTTTACCATTGGTTTCACTATTTCAAAAAGCCACCCACAAAGCTTTTTGAATGTTTTAAACTCATTATTTACCCAACGATCCTTGTATTTGTTGTTCATTCCATCTAAACATATCTGGACCAAAGCTTCCCCTATTTTCGCGAGGGACATTTCCCGACTATTGCCTAGCCTGGAGGCTCTTGCCAGTTGTAAAATTCTATCGGCCACCTTGATCATGCTCTTGTTCGTGAACTACATTTGTATGTCTACTTTGTTCGATTGTGCCTACTCATATTATGACTAGGATTCCAAAAAAAAAATTTTGTTTTCTAGTATTTAAGAATTTTTTTTTTGACTTAAAAAAGAAATCATAGCACCCGATTAAAGTTATTGTTGATCAAATGAGTGAAAATACAGGCCAACGTATACATCGGAATCTCATAAAAAATAAGACATGTATAAGATGGATCCCCAAATAAGAAAGGTCGTTAAAATTCTCATAGCTTCTAGATATTTTGTTAGTCCTAGTGTAGTATTTTTATCATTCAATCTCAAGGAATAGTTCTATCAAGCTTGAGAGACTTTTCTTGAGCACGATAGTTTTTCTCGACTATTTTCCTCTTGTGACAGTTTTTCTATATATTCTATCCCTTTTATTTTTGAGTGAATTTTCTTCGGGATAGTATTGCCAAATGCTGCTCTACATGCAGGAATTTGGCATAGAATTGTGAAATTTGCTTGTCCCGTGCAACTTTGAGGGTCAATGCCCTCTCTTTCAGTGATTGCGAGAGTTCTTCAAATACAAAAATTTTCTAAATTGCAATGACAATTGGTCACATGCTCAGGGGGATTAACATTTTTTCAAAGTAACTTCCAAAACTTAGGCTAGTGTCACCTAGAGGGTAAACTTCTTGTTGAGTGGATGGTATAAAATTAGAGAGAAGATCAAGGGTTGCCTTTGGTGGATTATTCTCTCCCAGGTAAGTGAATTCTGCATAACATTCAGCCTCGAAGTTTGGCAAAACCTGTTGAGTGTTTTTAAGTAGTCAACGGAGAGGGAGAAATTGAGGCTAGTGAAAAAGCAGGTGCTTGGAAAATTAGAGCCATTGAGCTTGGTAATGCAGAAGGCCATAATCCTAAAAATGTTGAAGGTCGAGTCTGCTCAACTCAACTCGGCCTTGCCCCAACATTTTTGGGGTCGGCTACATGAATTCTCTCTTGTCATTGTACTACATGAATGGCAATGTTTATTGTTAATCGATAAATTATCATATATTTCTTTACTATTTTATTTAAGGACAATTTTGGCCTTTCTCTATCCTTATGCTTACCGTCTATAAATATGTTTAACTCACTTAAGTCGATCATCTTTTAATTTATCTCCTATAGGTGCTACCTCTACCTTTTCACAGATATTATCGTTTCTAATTTTGTTTTTCCAAGTTTTATCACACATCCATTTTAACATTTTCATTCCACCACAATTTTTGATCTTGTTGTTTCTTAGTTGACCAACACTTAGTCCTCCAAAGCATGACACGTCTTATGGTTGTTCTATAGAACTTGCCTTTTAGCTTAAAGGGTATGCGTCTATCACACATTACACTGGATGCATTCCTCCATTTAGTTCATCATGCATTAATCCTATGAGTAACATCGTCAGCAATTTCACACTTTCTATGAATAATAGACCCTACATATGTAAAATGTTCAATTTTCAGTATCTCTTGATTTTCAATTTTTATTACTTCCCAATTTGGATTTCTCTTTTTACTAAAGTTAACTTCCATAAATTAAGTTTTAGTCCTATTTATCTTAAATCCTTTTGATTCTAGATTTTGTTTCCATATTTCTAGTTTATTATTAATTCTTCCTTTACTTCTATCCAGTAATACAATATCATCAGCAAATAACATACACCATGGAGCTCATCCACACAAAAAGATCTAGACTCGACGTAGAACCTTGATGTAAGCCTACAGTGATTGTAAATTTATTAGTCCTTCTCGTCGTTGTTTTAACAAGGTCACCATTTTTTTATACATATTCTTAATCACATCAATACACTTAATGATAACTTTTTCCTTCTTTATAACTCGCCATAAAATATATTTATGGACTCTATCATATGCCCTCTCTAAGTTTATAAAAATCAGATGAAAGTCCTTATTTTTTTCTCTATACCTCTCCAAGTCTTCAAAGTAAATATATAGCTTCCATTGTTGATCTCCCATGCATAAATCCAAACTAATTCTCAGATACCGTAGTTTCAAACCTTAGTCTTTGTTCAATCATTCTCTCCCAAGGTTTCATTGTATGACTCACTAGTTTTATTCCACTATAGTTTGTGCAACTTTGTATGTCTCCCTTATTCTTATATAGAGGTGCTGAAATGCTCTTCCCCCACTTATGCCATCTACCAGTGAGACAAAAGGAATATTTCCAACGTTTTAACTTTTATTAAACAATTTAGTTAACCTTGATACCCCAACATCCCCTACACACTTCTACACCTCAATAGTAGGTATACTAGTCAGTCCTAAAGTTTTTGGTTGCATTAGGGAGAATTTTTTTTCCACTATGTCAAAATCACTTAATTGTAAGAAGTTTTGGTTCCTTTTCACTTAACAAATAAGGAATGTGTTTGGGTTTTCTTTTGTAAATGGCTTCCTTCCCCGAATGTTTTTTTTCCCCAAGCTGACCTTCATGGTAGACTAAGATTTTCTGTGCAGCTTCACAAGATTTGTTTTTTATCAGACAAATCTGCAACACAGTTTCCTTACGTTCTGGTTCTCTAATTTATTCCACTAGGGGCAGGGCCTGACCATTTATGATGACTCAAATTCACAAGGCCCATGGTTTTTGTGATTGAGGTGTAATATTTGCTGAAATGGAATGATCTAACCCACCCACCTACTTGTCCAATCATCCTACACTTTTCTGTTTCTGATAAATTCAACAATGCCAGGCACATACAGCTTCCAGCTTGCAAAGACTGCATCTTGGCATAAGGATCTCTTGTTTTTGCCCTTGTCTATTAACTTCTGTCCATTAGAATAGTTAGGCTCCTGATCGCATGTATGAAAGTCTGAATGGTACATCGTATCAGCTATTTGTGCAGTTGTGGATGTTGGCACCTGTTAGTTCACAAAGTAAATCTTTATGTTTATTATTCAAATGCCTAAATTTGTCCTTGATTTGAATATAGACTTTAGATATTACATTACTGCTGCCAGTCTACCTCCCTTGATCAACAGTGTCTTGTTATCAACAAGCAAACAAAAAGGATAAAAAAGTGACCATTGTATTGTGATTTATATGCAGTTGAGCTTCAATTAAGATGCAGATTCTTTTTAAATTTTCAATATGTTACCCAGTAACTAATTTTGGGTATAAAACTCGTTGAAGATCTCAACATTGTATTGAACAGTTAAATTGTAGGGTAAATCAATGGAGAAGGAAAGTTTTTGGTATTTATGTCTGTGATATAAGATGATATTAGGGTACAAACAAGCAGTACCGATAATGCAGTGCTCTGAACAATTAACTGATTGTTTCCTCCCTAGTACCTATGTTTTCATTGATCAAACACTTTCTGACTGCGTTTTCATGTACTTTGCCTAGATATTTTGTGTTGACCTGCATGTGAAGCACTGTGGGCTAAGTTACATAAACTGGGCTGGTTGTTACTTACTTACCCATGAGCTCTTTTCTACATTGCTATAGGTCTCATCATATGTTTTTAAATTTTGTGTTTTATTACTTGGTGTAATTAGTTAAATCCGTCATTGCAGTCATCTTGCAATGTGGAGAAGTACTAGATTAAACGGTTCGATACTTTGTCCGATACATAGTGCCATATGAGTAGACTCAGCTAGTACGCTATTTTGGATCACGATTTGCTTTGAAACTATTATCCTGATATCTTTACCGAGAAGAAGTTTATAGATCACCAACAAAAGGAAATAAAGTGTCAGAGTAATCAGTGTTACCATTTGTTGAGGTGGAGAATTTGGTTGATTGAGGTTGCAAACCTACCCCATTTTTGGTCGTGCGACCTAGCTTGTGGGATGCTTAGTGTACCTGTAATGCTTTGTGTACCTGTAATCCAGTATTCTTAGTCAATGCCTTGACAGTGCTATATATTGGTCTCTTTCTCATCCATTTTTGCTGCAAAAAATGTTCATTCTCATTCAACGACCTTTGAAGCTTATGCTGCTTTTGACCTAATAAAACAATATATGGATTGTTACTTCTTGTTTTGATATTCCACAAGTTCTCCTAGGTAATGTATCGTGGTTTGGATACTCCACAAATACTCAGTGATGGACTGACTCCTTGTCGTAATTGTTATCACCATCCCCATCATTGTGACACTTGTTGTCGGAGTCTTTTTTGTAGCAGTAGTTATTATTGTTAGGGTATTGTTGTGGTCGTAGTCTTGCTGCCACTGTTGCTTTTTTTTTTTTCCGAATGTAGGTTAAGCCTGTCAACTCACGTCTTGCTGGAGTGAAGCGCAAATTTGAGACACCAATTGCTGGAGGTGATGATGCAGCTGCTTTAGCTACCATGAGTAAGAAATCACATAAGTGGAGCTGTGGTCTGTGTCAAGTGAGTGCCACCTGTGAACAAGGTCTGAAGGACCACCTTAAGGGAAAGAAGCACAATGCCAAGGAGAAGGCATCACTGAGAAATAGTAAAACATTCAGCGATAATTCAGGCGATTACCTATTGCCTGAAGAAACCAAGCAGTGTGGTGAACTTTCACTGCCCACTGGCAGCACAAGCCCGAAGCTACACAATATTACAGATGAAAATCAGGATACGAATCCGAAACTGAAGCTGATGAAGGGTTCGGGGAAGGTGAATGCGGGGTTGCCAGTAAGGGAAGAGGACAACACATTTGGCTCGGAGAATTCAAATTCCAAATTCTGGTGTTCAATTTGTAAAGTTGGAACTACGAGTGAAGCATCAATGACGACTCATCGAATGGGAAAGAAGCACATGAACTTGTTGCAGCAAAATGGTGGTGGTGTCATAGCCATAAAAATGATGCCTTTTAATATTCCGTCTGTTGATGCACCTATTGAAACAGCAGCCAAACAGGGAAAGCTGGATTCATTTGCTCATGCATATAAGGAAGTATATAGGGTTGGAGCTGACTGGGAAGCGGATGCAAGTAAAGGCGAGTTGTGAATGGCAACTCGATAACATGAAGACACCTTGCAGCACCAAGGACAGAATTTGATGGTCAGTTGTCTTTCTTGCGATATGAATGGGCCAGTGTCATTCTGAAAACAGTCACTAATGGAAGTCAGACCATTCTGCTGTTGGTAGTGCTATTTTATTAATAACATTAGGTACTGAAGAATAATTATTTTACTTTATCAGTCGGGTATATTTTTATCTAGTTACTTAGATTTATGATTCCTCCTTTAGTTCGTGGGTTGCTTTGGAATTGTAGTTGTTTCATTGTTTTAAAAGGGTTATTTGTTGTGAAATAGATTCTGTTTTGGTTCTGCTCGTCTTTATTTTCTGAACTTGGGAGTATTTTAGCAAACAATATCTGCAATGGTGAAATAAGAAACCTTGTTAGCTAAAATGATTTGCTGAATCAATTTTTAAACAAACTGTTTAGAGATTGATGAGACCCAATTATGTAAGGGATAATATGCATAATTTTTTTGGGTTGTGTGGCATTATTATATCTTTATTCTCCTTTTACTGCAGTTTTCAACTTATTTTCCAAACTACCATTGTTTTTGTAAAGCATGAGTCAAACTCGTCTGCCCATGCTTTTATGACAGCAACGGTATCTTTAAAAACAAGTTAGAAGCTACAGTATTCCTTATATGGTTGACTAAACCATTATTATATCTTTTCCTCACAATCTATGCATTGCAATAAGGGATTTGTGATTGTGTCTGATGATTGATATTTGAGCATAGAGCAAATTCATTGTGTGGCTTGAAAATATACAGAGGGTTAAAATCACAGCTCGTGACTCAATTGGTCAACTGTTTTGATCTGGGTGGATTGGAACTAGTAGAAAGAGCCAGTAAGTAATTTATTTTGTTAAGAATTTATTTAGATTGGAGGACTTTTGAGGAGGAAGGGTAGCTTCATTAGAGATATGACAGGGATCAAATAGATCCATCAATATCCACATAGTCCAAATAAAATGATGATAGACCAGAGTCATATTTTTATGTTGATGTAGTTTATCAATTATCCTATATATATATATATATATATATATAGTTAAGTTCTATTTATATAGCAATCAAAGAATAATACATAGATGTCGTTTAATGGGCATTTCGTCAGTAGATGTAAACACTACCGTGTTAAACTACGTTGTTATGTCATGTTTTTCCTTTCGTTTTTGTTAATGTCTGTAATGTTTATATGTTTGTCCCACATTTGTTAGATCAGGAAACTTCACTTCTCTTTTGGACTATAATAAATCTTTTCATGTATATAATAAAATACACCAAAATAATACACAATTATTATTCATTTTCTATTCTCTTTTTTCACATAGTATCAGAGTCTAGATTTGTGAATCATTCTAGTCAAGGATAATATGTTCTGTGGTTGCCCTACGAGGGATCCTCCACGTTAGAACTCTTGAGGTTCTTGTTTGGTTCAATCCCATTTCTATCAAGCCTAGCTCCGGTTCAAGATTTCAGCTCCGATCACCGGTGACTTTCTCTACAGAGCAACGATGAGGTTCCGATCTCCCCCCCGAGCAATTTTTTCATCTGTTTGCTCTAATTCGGTTAGCATTCTCACGTTTCTGCTATGACTTCTCTAAATGATGTTGCATGCCCTATAGAGATTGTGTTGGATGGCTCCAACTACAATGCTTGGGCCCAATAGATATCTATTTTTCTACTTGGTTAGAGATTATGGCATTTTGTAACCGACACAAAACAGAAACCCGCAAAAATTGACAAGGAAACTAAAAAGGAGTTCGACGAATGCCTTGAGGAATGGGAAGGCACTCACTGTAAGATTCTCTCATGGTTTATTAATACCTTTGTTCTTTCTATTCAGAGTCTTCTTCCTATTTCAGAATGCCAAGCTTGCCTGAGATTTTTTGGCAAATCGATACAATTGTTCTTATGATGTTGTTCTCCAGTTTCAGCTAGAATCTGAGCTCTATCAAATGCGTCAGGAACTTGGCTAATCTATTGCTGAGTTTCACGCTTCGATTTGTGGTGTCTGGGATCAACTTTCTCATGTGGATCCAATTTTTCCTGATGATGAGTCCATTAAGCTCTTTGCAGAATATCGAGACTGTCGTTAGTTTATTCATTTTATGATGCAAATTTGGGATAATTTTGAAACCACTAGAGCCTCATAGCTCCATCACTCTCCTATTCCTACACTTGATGTTGCCCTCACAAAGCTCACTTATGAGGAGAACGACAAAAGACTCGCCAATTCCATTCCACTAATTTGCTCATGGTCGTTGCACCGTCTAGCTTCTCTACTCTAGCCACTCCTGCTGCGACAGCTTCTTCATATAGGTCGCGTTGTTTCAACAACCAATGTCACTATTCTAAGGAAGATGGCCATTGCATTTTTGATTGTTGAAAGCAAATGGATAAGGATGCTTAAAAGGCAAAGTTGCATCCATCCCACAAGCTTGTTGCTACTGCTTCTACCAGCTCATTGTTTTCTGATTCCCCTTCTGCACTTTCTTTGTCTTCTCTTACTGCAGTTGACTTTGAGGCAATTGTCACCTAAGTTCTATTTTGTACTTCCATTACCTTATCAGTCTTCTCAGGTAAATATTATTCCTGATTTATCGATTCAACCTGTTGCAATCATATGACACATGATTCTTCTTGTGTCTAACTTCCATTCAGGAATGGGTAAAGATTTTAACAAAATTCTCGATTTGATGTTCCATCTTCACTTGCTAACATGCTGCACATCTAGCTACAAATTTAGTCACATCCTTCTTTATTTCTTTCCACCAACATTATTGTTTCATATCCCTATACATCTTGCTACTACTTAGATGGATAGCAATTTGGAAGGGTGGCTTTCTTCTAAAACATCATCCTTTAATTGAACATCATCTGGTATGCACAACCTCCCTCGATAACATAGCTCTCCATTTTACAAGGACCATTCCTCTACTGTTTTCCCATTCACCAATTGTGTCCGAATCGCCTTTGGTTGATGATCCAATCATTATAACTCCTCAACCTTTTGTCGGAGGGTGGGTTAAACCATAAGATTGAATAAGCATGGTTGGTCCTCATTCTTTCTTACCAAAAGGTCAAAGTCTTCCAATGCCTCAATCATTTTTCACTTACTCACTGACATGCTATTTATCGCACCCCAAGACTTTCTACTTAGTGCATTAGCTACCACATTAGCTTTCTTGAATGATAATGCAAGGTAAAGTCAAAGTCATAACCCTCCAAGAATTCAATTCAATGCCTTTGATAGTGGTTTAGGTCCCTTTGAGTAAAAATATACTTGATGCTTTCATGATTTGAATACACTTGAAATTTCTCTCCATTAATATAACATCGCCACAACTTGAGAGCGAACACTACAACTGTTAGCTATATGACAAGTGTGAGATAATTCTACTCGTGAGTCTTTAACAACATTGAGCCATAAGAAACTACATTCTCTTTCTGCATCAGTAAACAATCCAATCCACATAAAGAAACATCCATGTATACATCGTAGCCCTCACCACTATCTGGAATAATAAGTGTTGGTGTTGTGGTCAATTTCTCATTCGAAAAGATGAATGCTTGCTCACAATCCTCATCCCATACAGATAGGTCAAAGGTATGGTTAAACAAGAAAATCATTTCACGAACCTCCAATAGTAGCCCGCCAATCCCAAAAAACTATGAGTTTCAGTCACATTTTGGTGTCATTTCCTTTTCATCATTGCCTAAATTAAGACAGGTCCACATCCACTTCCCAGTTCAACACAACATGTCCAAATACTATATATATTTTATCCATAACTCCCACTTTCTCTTCGTAGGATACAACTTATGTTGCCTTTGTGTTTGTAACACCAATATGATATGTTGTGCATGCTCTTCAAGTGTCTTAGAATAGATCAAGATGTCATCAGTGAAAACAATGACAAATTAATCTAGGTAAGGTCTAAATACACGGTTCAACAAGTCCATGAAAGCTACGGGAGCATTAATTAGTCCAAAAGGCATCATTACATACTCAAAGTGACTGCACCTTATGTGAAAGGCCATCTTGGGAATATTCTCATCCTTGATTCTCAATTGGTGGTACCCAATATGAAGATAAATCTTGGAATAATACTGTGAACACTTTAGATGATCAAACAAGTCATAGATACGAGGTAATAGATACTTATTTTTCACTGTAACTTGATTTAGCTTCCTATAATATGTACACAGTGTGATGCTTCTTCATAAAAAGAACGGGTGCACCCTAAGGTGAAGTAGTCAAACGGAGGAATTTGATAGTCAATCACTAATCCAATTGTTTCCTTAAGTGTTTCAACTCCAATGGTGTCGTACAATTAAGGGCAATGGATATATGCTTGGTGCTTGCGTACAAGTTGATGGCAAACTCAGCTTCTCTGTGTGGGGGTAGTCCTAGTAATTCACTAGTGAATACATTTGGGAAGTCCGACACCACCAATATAAAGTCAAACTAGTTTTATTCTATTCATCTCCTAACAAGCTACCTAGGAAATTCAAGCTACTACCCACCTTAGCTTTTAATAACCGGCAATCCATAGTAGGGAATGGGTGGTAAGAATTCCACTCGTTGGTAAAGCTGAATACTACCTGTCTCAGTAATTGGAATACCATTTGTTTCCTAAACAGTTAATGACGAAATGGTATGCAAACAATAAATCCATCATTTTCATTTATCTCCAATGCCACCAAATCCACAATCAATTCTTGCTCCCAAATCTGGAACAATCAACCTTTACACAGCCTCCGTGTGTCCAATAGTTCCCCCATAGGTAGATCAAAACTCAAGGAATTATCTAACTTGTCAAACTTTAAGCCCGAAAAAAAAAAGCACACGTGGTGAATATGAATGAGTGTGTGGCACAATGATCAAATAAAATATATGTACAAGAATTACAGAGAAGAACAATACCTTTCACAACTATAGTGGAAGCATCTGTATCCTGATGGGTCATGGCAAAGACT